AAAACCAAACTTTCTCTAACATAAAAATACTCATTCTCTTCGACGATATCCAACACAGATTTATGAACTCAGGTTTCCCAAAATTCAAGAAGAATTAGAAAGTATAAAAGGGTGTCGAAGCACACACTATAGCATAATCAACTCCCAAGCTTTCATAGAAGGCCCCTAGCTAGTCTCAACACCTTAAACAACGTTAAAAACATGTACAACCGAATCAGCATTCATGTACCTATCTCTAATAGGTCTACTCCTAGTAGTTGAATATGAAGGAACCGCAAGTAATGGTGGCAAAGTGAAATTACCCATATCTTCCAAACTCGACTGAGTATTATTCTTTAATATGGACCTCGAACCAAATTCCTAAGGTACTGTATCAAACTGAATCTCCACTACAGTACTAAATTTGTTCTGACTTTTTTGCACAAATTCTATCAGATCTTGCAAGATGTATAATTGGGACCTCTTCCGCCCTTCTAATGCAACACAATACCCTTCCAAACCCTCAAGACTCTACAATGTGTATCCTTTTGAATCAAGAGTACTAAACGAAATAAGATTTTTCATTAAGTCTGGAATATGTCGAACGTGATCAAGTGTTCTACACGTTCCATCCACCAGCTTCAATTTGATGCTACAAGATCAGCTACCCGACAAAGTTCGTTGTTAACCATGATGACGACACCTTGCTTTACTGTTTCATATATTTCAAACAAATCCCGATTGGGACAATATGAAAAGCACAAGCTGTATCCAAAATCCACTTCTCATCATGTTTGGATATCATGTTAGAAACCGTTAAAACATCTCAATCACTCAAATAATTCTCGACTATATTGGTCTTGTATGAAGTATTTAATTGCTTTCGAGATTCTTTAGAAAATGTGAACAAGGTCATACGTGAATTTTTTCGCTGTCAAGGAATGGTTGGAATAATTGATAAATATGAAATTCTTGGACTAGTCAAAAACAAAAGGTGCAAAAGAGAAAATTAAAACAAACTTTGCAGGCATGAAGCATCAACATAGTCACGTATGTCCAACACGATGCGTGTCGAACACGTAGAAACACGATTTTTAAAAAAAGTATTGACATGACACATTATCGACATGTTCATTAAATTCTTTAAAGTTCTCCATTTATGTAGCCCAATTTGACAACTATTATTTGAAAACTCTTTATCATATATACTCATTTTCAATCATACATTTACACAATAAATTATTATTTGAAAACTCTTTATCATATATACTCATTTTTAATTATATATTTACACAATAAAACAAACTCTGCAGGCTATGTTAATTTTGTACGAAGTATTTAATTGCTTTTCATGATTTGCAGTCAAATTACCTTTTATCTGCAATTTGTCACAATTCCTCTTAATGTGTCATTTCTTTTTGCAATAATAAAAAAACTAATGGCTGAAATTTGTCGTCGACTTACCCCTTCTCCACTATGAACAACAAGGCATTATCCATCTCCAAATCAGTGATGATCTCTTTGAACACAACCAGCTGATCTTTCAAAAATCTGACTTCTGCCATATGATAAAAATATAACCTCTGCTTCAGATGCAATTTCATTGTCAGTTTACTCATGCACGTTGCTCTAACTTCAACCATAATGCAGTTGTTGCTTTCCCCTTCAAAAAGTCTTGAAGAATATTGTTAGAGAGACGAAGATAGATTTGTGAAAGTGCCTTTTGATCTTTCATTTGTTTCTTTCTATCGTCCAAGTTGTGGGCATTTTGTCAAATCTCAACAATGCATGATCTAAATCAACTTGCGCTAGTACAGTTCATATCTTCACTTGCCATAACGAGAATTTTATATTGCCATCCAAGAGCAAAATTTCATACTTCATGGCTGCCATTGATAAAAAACCTCGAACAAATCACAACCAATAACTCTTATACTACTTGTTAGAAAATAAAATGAATCAATGTACTATATATGACATGATATGAAGATAAGATCACAAACAAACTACAAGATAAAAGGCAATGAATTAATTGGTAGAGAAATGAAGTATTTTATTCAATTAATGAATATGGAGAAAACAAATACAATAATTGTGTCTACACAATTATTCTATATATCAGTAATACAAAACTTGTGAAAAGAGTCTAATATTTATAGGGGAGTATGCCAAATCATAGAAATACCGCAAAGATGGAAACAAGATAAAAAATAATGTGGAATAAAGGAAATAATATTTTTCTCAATAAAAAAGCGTGGAATAAAAAAAATAAATTTTTTTTAATAAAAAACGTGTGTAATAAAAGAAAAAATATTTTTCCTAAAAAATTCAACTTAATTTGGGTAAAAAATCCAACAATAGAACGACTACATGTTGCTAAGTGTTTTGACAGAACTCCAGAATAATTTTTTGGGATAAGGAGAACTCATTGAGTGCACATAAAAATCACTTGGATTTTATGGGAAGATCTTTAAAACATCATCGAAATATAATTGATGATTACACTAAGAAAACCACTTGCTTCACCATCATTCTGAAAAACTAATTACAAGTCTTGACAAGATAGATTAGGGTTGGAAGTAGGTTCTAGGAAATCGTTTTGTCCCTGTAAAAATTACAAAAATGCTACTTGAAATAGTTATGAAACAAACCTCTGTGCCCTTGTTACGACGCAAGGTGTTTCGGATACTCCAATGAGGAAATGTTACTTGCGAAATGAGGTTGAGACTTTCTTCCCCGTTGTACCTCTGGCATGAGAATTAGTAAGGGTTTTAGGAAGATAAACTTAGGATAAAATATAGGAGGTATATTAGGTAGTCAAAATTTTCAAGACCTATACCCATCTCACCTTATGAGTATTTATAGGTATCTGAAGCTATGTAACTACTGGACGGTTATTGTGCCACGTATCCCACATAGCACCTCCTACCACCCTCCACGTTCTGAGTGGATGACCTCTACCTATCAAGCAGTTGGTTGTGTCAATGATAGCCATTGAACGGTTTCCATCCAACTCAAGGATGTTTTTATGATTAAGTGTTGTGTTGTGCTAGCCTAGTTGTGGTAGAAGGGCTCATAATGGTAGACAACCTAGTATGAATGTAGAGGGCTTCATAATGGTCGACCGCCCTGCATGGATATAGAGGGCCTTGAAGCAGTAGATACCCTAGCATATAAGTAGAGGGCCTTGTAGTGGTAGACGACCTAGTATAAATGTAGAGGGTCTCATAGTAGTCGACAAACCAACGTGGACTTAGAGAGCCTCAAAGCAACAAACGATCTAGCATGCAAGTAGAGAGCCTCATAGTGGTAGACAACCTAGCATGAGGTGCTCTACATAGATAGTTTATTGAGTAGTCTTCATCTTATTGGCCATCATAGATAATTATTGATGCCGTATAATATCACCATTTGTACAATGAATTTACAGGTGCTAAAATGAAAGAATTTAATTGGTTGAATTCAATGAAATCTTGCAAGCTAAAATTTTGTAAACCAGTTTGTAAAAACAGCTTGTGCATGTATCATTTAATCACAGCCTCTCTGCCACACCTCCAAAGAAGAATCACTGTAGTTCAATTTAAATAGGGTTGTTATGTCAAGTTTTCCCTTAGCTTCTCTTTGACAATCATTAAAATAAAATTCCTTTTTTTTTTTTTTTGCAAACTAATTTTCAATTATACATTCTAACAATAAAATAATTTGCGCATAAACCTAATATTTTTCCCCTGTATTTTAATTGCACGTTCTCCAAAAATTCACTATTTCAAAACTTAATTTACCCAAAAATTTTATTTTAATGGTTGTCAAATAGGGACTCAAAAAAAAAAAGAAAAAAAGAAAAAAAAGGAAAAAAGAAACCTTAAGAATGAGATCAGAGTGTCCGAATTACCTTATGAAAAGTTACCCCAACCCCTTCAAATATCACAAAATCCTATTTTAGCTTAGCTCATCCAATTTAAGTTGATTAATCAGTGTTGTTATATATATAAATTACTATAGTCTGCCTGGATGTCATGTTAGTCACAAAAAGATATCACATCGTGTGCCATATGTCATGGAACAGACATTAATGTCTCGATGGTTGAGACTTACATGAATGAAAGAATTCGTAGGACTAATACTTGGCCAGAAACATGATTAGAGGCATCGGATATGGATGAAACTCATCTTAGTTTTGGTTTAGAAGATGAATTTAATTTTTGAAACAAAAAGAAATTTTGAAAACTCAAAAATATGCAAGAAAATAATTTGATTGCAATGAATTGGTGCCTAAAAAAGGGTACAAAGCATTTGCTTACAGGCAAAATAATCTCTTAATCCTAATAGCTTAAAAGAAGATAAGTAAAATCTGAAATAATAAGTAATAAAAATCTAAAAGAATAAAAGGTCCTAATCTGAACAACCATAAAATCGTACTACAACAATAAATAAGTCATATCCTATTTGTAATGGAATTATGCTATACCAGGTGTCGTCTTTTCAACCCGTGCACATATATCAAAATAGTCAATGCATTCTTTTTAAATAAATCCTTTTGTTAATAATCTTGTGTTGAGCACCAATAGTTCCATCTACTTTCATCTTCTTTTTAAAGATCTAATTGATACCAATAGTTCCTGAACCTAGTGGAAGATCTACTAACTTCCAAGTGTTGCTGCTTATAATAGATGCCATTTCATCGTCTAATTGCTTCTTTCTGAAATGCAATATCATTTGATTTCATTGCCTCTTTATATGTCAGAGGATACGACTCGATAGGCTATTTTGTTGCAATTTATTTAATAGGTGAGTCCCTATTTCCTTCTACTACATGCATATATGCAATTCGATCCAAATGTTTTCCCCCTTAATTCCCTAGATCTTTAGTTGCGCTTCTAAGCCTCTTTTACAAAATGCTGATATGTATCCAATTTGTTAACTTAGAAAGTAGAAACAGTAGTACGTCTATATGTTCATAAAATACTATATTTCTCGATTCTATTAAAGTATTAACCTCAACTCAGATGTTGGGTTTTGTAACAAGAAACTTATAACATCATTATATAATGCATAACCTAAGAAAATGCATTATATTCCTTTTTCTTCTAATTTCTTTATCTTAGGGTTAGGACGTCTAACAATAGCCCCACAATCCTTTAGTACGCATAAGATAAACATGACAATACTCAGAATAATCATCAATTAATATAGCAAAGTTTGTCTCCTCTGCAAATTATATACATCACTATTCACAAATAGTAACAAAAAAAAAATGTTTTTCTTTCAACTATAAAAATTTGAGTCTTTATTGTATTAGTTTAAGGATAATTGACACAAAACGTCCAT